TAATCAATTCAGTTGTGGAACGGGAGGAAAGTTATGAGAAATCAATGTTATAAATATTAAAATAATATACACAGTATAATTTATCATATGAGCCTTAGAGAACCAGATAGGCGCTAGCTATTTTTATTTAATTAATAATTTGACTCAGAATCCAATTATTCATAAAATATTCATAGGTTTACAGTAAGATAGTAACTATAACTTATCAGAGTACAAGTAAAATATTACTAATATCTATGAATTGGTTTAAAACTTTAATGTTAAACATAAAACAAAAGTGAACAACAAATTATCACTTAAAATAACAATTATAAATATGGTTGAACTTTTTATAAATATAATTTTAAATATTTCTTGAAATAAAAACTATGAATATTGTATGAATAATTGAATTCTGAGTCAAATTATTATTTATATATAAAAATAGCTAGCGCCTATCTGGTTCTCTAAGGCTCATATAATAATAATTTTTTAAATTTCAAAATTAATATATTATTATTATTATTATTATTATTATTATAGCTACAGTATACTGTAATATGAGTTGTAGACAATCATAGTAACGTTGGCTATTTTTATATTTATTATATTTAATTAATAATTTGACTCATAAGTCAATTATTCATTCAATATTCATAGCCTATGAATCATGGGTTTTTATTTAAAAAATATTTATTATTAAATACTCAAAAATAGCTAACGTTACTATGATTGTCTAAAACTAATATGAAAGTTTTATAATTTATTTAAAATCTTGTGATTTGTAATATTTATTTCATTTCCATTTTGGATGTCACATCTTAGAATTTGTATCATATATAGTAAGCAATATAATTAGTATCATTTGTTTGCAAATTAGCATCCTACTTCAACTTTTTACAGTACTGTCCAAATTTGACTTTGATTTATATCTTACATTTATGGTACAAACAGTATCAAACTACTCAGTAGTTACTACTGTATATTATGAAAATAATACAAATTACTTGTTCATTTTTAGTATTAATGGACTAATATTTATTTATAATATAACAGATTGCAGGTGTACCTGTTCCCTTTGATCTACAACCTAGGTAAGTTTTTTAGTTATATTGATAGAGCAAAATAATATTAAAATGAATATCATTTGTAACATTAAAATTTAATTTTATGATTAAGTGATGCCTGCAATCATTGGAATATCAAATGTCCGATAGTTAGCGGAGATAACTATGATCTGAAGATAGCTGTTCCCATACTCCAGAGGTATCCGAAAATCAAAGTTCAGGTTCGAGTGGCTCTATTGGACGACACCAACAAAAAGCTCTTCTGTCAACAATTTCCCGTTCAAATCGATTAATTAATTCATTTAATACTCAAATTATCAATCATATTATACAGTACTTTTTAAACAATATAAACTCCCAAGCAACTACTGTAGGCTTTTCAAATAAATATTATATTGCATATTAATAAGTCTCATGAAACTTATTGTTTTAAATGTAGCATTTGACTTAATTGTTTATAAAAATGTTTTAAACTTGAAATTAAATTGAAGCTTTTGTATTTACCGTAATGTTACCGTATTTTTAATTAATAAAAAACATAAAAATGTATTAATAAAAGGTGTGTGTGTGTGTGTGTTTAATAAATTGTTTTGAATTGTTAACCAAAATATACAATAGTGTTAATTAATTGCTTACCACATATGGTGTAAGTAAAGCCCGCATAACAATTGTTGATCTTTACAAAAGTG